CCTCGATTTTCCTCGTCCACTACATCAAAAGGACCTGCGCAGCTTTCTTGGGTTATCTTCTTACTTCCAGCGCTTCATACGTGGTTTTGAGGAACTTGCGTCTCCGCTCCATCAACTCCTCGCAAAGAACGTCCCCTTCATTTGGTCCGAAGACTGCGAAAGCGCTTTCACGGCATTGAAGCAAGCCCTCACGTTGGATCCGGTACTGTGCCACTTCGATTCCACCGCACCCACCATCCTTCACACCGACGCAAGTAGTCATGGTCTTGGTGCACTACTCTTGCAGCGCGACAAATACTCACGCGAATGCGTCGTTGCTTACGCAAGTCGTGCTCTTACCGCTCCAGAAAAGAACTACACTATCACCGAGCAGGAGTGCCTTGCTGTTGTTTGGGCAGTGCGAAGATTCCGACCATATCTTCACGGCCGTCATTTTACCGTCGTGACCGACCATAACGCCCTATGCTGGCTTTCATCGCTGAAAAACTTATCAGGTCGCCTCGGTCGCTGGGCGCTTCGCTTGCAGGAGTATGACTTCGATGTCGCCTACAGATCTGGGAAGAAGCATCAAGATGCTGATGCTCTATCGCGCTGTCCTTTGCCCAGGGAAAGCCACTCACCATCGATACTCCAAAACGACAGCACCTCTCCAATCGCAGCGCTAAGTTCATCACCTGCCACCTTATCCGTCCTTGTTTCATAACGTGTCGACCCATACTGCCGCACCATTGTTGACCGCTTGACCGGCTCTACTACTCCTCCAAACGCCAGACTCTGTCGACAACTTAAACAATTTAAGCTTGTCGGTGATGCTTTATGTCGCTACATTTACCACATCGATGGCAACAAGTGGGTACCCGTCATCCCACGTTCTCTGCAATGTGAAGTTCTCGAAGCCTTTCATGATGATCCAACCGCCGCTTATCTAGGCTATCACAAGACTTACGACAAAATATGAAATCGTTGTTTTTAGCCTGGCCTCTCTTCAGCCGTCGCTAAGTACGTCGCCTCCTGTGTCCATTGCCAACGGCGAAAACGACCGACAACTGCTCCGGCTGGCTTAATGCAACCTCTTCCTTGTCCCGCCTCGCCTTTTGAAGTCGTTGGAATCGACTTGTATGGCCCTCTTCCTATATCATCAATGAAAATCGCTGGATGGTCACGGCCGTCGACCACCTTACCCGCTACGCAGAAACAGCTTCTATACCATCTGGGACTGCCACTGAGATCGCCGATTTCTTTCTTCGCCACATCTTTTTGCGTCATGGAGCTCCATGCATTCTCCTCAGTGATCGTGGCAAAGTCTTCCTATCTTCCATTGTCGAGCAAGTTTTGCATGCCTCGAACACTGTTCACAAGACCACTTCTAGCTACCATCCGCAGACCAACGGATTGACTGAACGGTTTCATCGGACCCTATCGGACATGATCGCCATGTACATTCACCCCAACCACATGAACTGGGATGCAATTCTACCCTTCGTGGCATTCGCCTATAATACGGCTGCTCAACGCACTACCGGCTTTTCTCCATTTTTTCTCGTCCATGGTCGCTCGCCGAGTTTCGCTCTGGATGTCTCTTTCCTTTCGGCCCCTGCACCCTCGACGGCTCCTTTCTCTGAAGAATTCCTATCTCGTCTCGCACACTGCCGTCACCAGGCCCGTGTTAACACCGGCCTCTCTCAAGACACTCGAAAATCTTGCTACGACTCGTCTCGCCGTGTTGTGAGTTTTTCCCCTGGTGACGAAGTTCTTCTATGGACTCCACTACGCGTCCCCGGCCTATGCGACAAATTCATCAGTAGGTTCATTGGGCCATACACGGTGGTCGAACAGACATCTCCTGTCAATTACCGCGTTTCTCCTCTTAGCGCTAGTCCTGATCATCGTTGCCGAGGAACAGAGATAGTGCACGTATCTCGTTTAAAGCCTTATGCGCGACGCATTTCATAATACTGTCAAGCGACCAGGCGGCCGCTTTCACCGCGCGGGGGAATTAGTGTGAGCGCGACAAGCGAATGACTCTTTATTCTCTCTGATATCATCATCACCTGTACATCTTCTTCATCTTAAAATATCACCACCAGCGTGATTTAGCTCGAGCTTGGCTGAATAAATCGGTTCCTCACAATACCTTTAACTTCCACTAAGTGAGAAATCAAAGGCCAAGACTGCATTCGTCATGCCTGATGAGACCGGGCAGTTTTACCCCCGTATTCTAGAACGTCCCTTCACTCAACGCTCCACCTTCACTTGAGAAAGCCGATGGGAGCGCCGTCTCTAGTCACGACAAGTCACTGCATAAAAGCGATAGTCTGCTGCGATTCTTGAGCAGTGCAGCGTCATTTTCAGCCGAGCTGTGGCACAGTGCTCAACTCTGTCAAGTGAAGGGTAAAAGTCAAGTCGAGGAGCGTTTGTGAATACGGGGGTTCACGTATGGTCTTCTGATTGAGAAATGGTTCTGCTGTATTTTGACGCATAATAAACAAGGTCCTCGGATCTCTGCGCAACACTGTAGTACTGTGTTACATGGACAACCTGCTGATTCCAGGCAAGGATAGGGAAGAGTTGTTGGTTCGACTCAAACAAGTGTTGAATGCCCTGCGAGCTGCTGGCCTAACCCTGAAAATATCCAAGTCTGTCTTTGGAAGGGACGAAACTAACTACTTAGGCTTCAAGATTGCGAAGGGCTACCTGCAGCCAGGCGAAATGAAGCAAAAGGTTATACTGGACGCCAGCACGCCAACTTATGTTCACAGTGTAAGGAGATGTCTGGGACTAACAGGATTTTTGAGACGATTCATTCCCCATCGGGCCTTGAAGGCAGGACCGCTTACTTGCCTGACCAAGAAGGAGAGGAAGTTCACGTGCAGAGTGTCTACCAACCTGGAAAACCTGGAAAAGTCAGGGGAATTCGAATCCTTCCGGAAAAGTCGGAGATTTTTTGAAAAATTTGGCCTGGTCATGGAAAGTGGCTGTAGCCTGTGCGACCATCTTAAAAATAAGCATTACCATAGATCAAAGCTTAAAAAGCCACTCCTTTGGGTTCAACTAGGGAACAGCTAAAAGTTGTGTGAAAAAAAAAAAAAAGCAGTATTACCTCTTATTTTTGAAATCAGTGGTCTTACCGATGTACTGGTTGTCGTCTAAAGTAAAAAACGACAGTAGAAATGTTTGCTTGGCAACTTGTCCTTCATGTTGTCTAAGGCGTTCTCTAGCATTACAATATTTTGTCTGTTGCTTCTATTTATCACGCGGCATATCTGACTTTCCAAGCACAGCATAAATCATGTCGTTAAATTTGTGCATGTTTGTCTTGACTATGATTTGGCTCAGCTTGAAGGCCTTCTGGTTCGGACTGCCATTAGCAGAGGCTTGCCAGAAAATGTCATGCCTTTTATTATTATCACTATCATCATTTTTATTGGCGATGCAACGACGAACGTCCTCAGCTACGCACTTATTGCTGGTAGCTCGTGTTTCACTTGTAGAGCTGGATAACCTCTTCTAAATTCTTCATTTCAGTTTGTTGATGTGATATTAATAAACCTGTGACTAATTTTTAGCCTTATATCCGTAGAAGAGTACAGGAACAAAGGTAACCCACCGGCATCTGTGATAAATCAATGGAATCAAGGGAGCTGTTGCTCCCCGACAGATTCCTTTTTAAAGCCAGCTCATATTTGAACGCCATCGCTTTCAACACTACCCCTAGCTTTCATTGCAGGCATCTGAGGATTTTGTCGAACTCTGAGCGTCACAGCCCAGACAAATAAAACATCAACATACATGTGCTCATCATGGAATAAAAAAAAATCTAAAAAAGAAAATTATGCAGTAAGGCTCCATTCTTGCGACCTTGTTAGTCATTGTTCAATGCAAGGTGCACAGAATACGCAAGTAGTACTGTTTCTTTTTTTCCTGAAAATTATATACTAGAGGGGTGCAATTTAGGTGGGTATGCAAATCTATAATAAATAAAGCAATCTATGTCACATCAGATCCAATCCACATCCTAAATATACATATTTTTTCATATTTACCTCATGTACTCAGAACATTCTGAGCAAGTGCGGTACATTTATTTACTTATTTTATAGAATTGCCTTATTTTTTTTTACCACTCGAGGGTCTGTTTCTAGTGTACAATTTCCAAGCAGGTAAATGTAAGGATCGCCCCGCCGCGGTGGTCTAGAGGCTTAAAGTACTCGGCTGCTGACCCGCAGGTCGCGGGATCGAATCCCGGCTGCAGCGGCTGCATTTCCGATGGAGGCGAAATGTTGTAGGCTTGTGGGCTCAGATTTGGGCGCACGTTAAAGAACCCCAGGTGGTCGAAATTTTCGGAGCCCTACACTACTATGGTGTGATGCCACTCGTCGTGCCAATCGACCGCCGTTACCACAGCACTGAAGTTGGTCTCGTCCCCCGCATGAAACTCTTCAGATGACGTTCCTTATCACCTTTACTTGCTGCGGCCAGGATGGCTGCTTTCACAGGGGAGGGGGGGGAGTTAGTATAGGCATCAATTATGCACTTTCTCCTCATCTGAGGAGAAGTCTGTCATTATCATCTGTTATGACTGATGAGCATCATCGGTTTTTTGGGTGTGAGTTTCTTGATTGGACCTGTGGCGCTTGTTCGCTCCTGCAAGTAAACAAGGATCCAACCGAGACATCATAATGTATGTATGTATGTGTGTATGTATGTGTGTATGTGTGCATGTATGTATGTATGTATGTATGTATGTATGTATGTATGTATGTATGTATGTATGTATGTAGGTAAGGAACAGGGAATAAAGACATTCGTTGGTTTGGCACTGTATAGTTTGAGTAACATTTCGTCTCGTGGACCAGACAAAGTTCATTACACGAAACGTTAGTGAGAATATGTAGTACCAAATCAATAAAAGTTTTTATTCCCTATTCGTTATTCTATCGGGACTCACGTGACTTTTTTCCCCACTATATATATATATATTTTTTTTCACCATTGCGCAGGTAAACTGAAAATGCCAGTAGCTAGCAGGAGTCTTCATGTGGCCAACTCCTTTGAGGAACTCATGAAACTAGTGGACAGCGATGACATCACCCTCAAGGAGAAGCACTTTAAAGGGAAGAACCTACGAATGTAAGTTGCATTTATAGCAGCACTTGTCTTCACTTCCATTAACATGTGTTAATTTTGTCAGAGCTGTACATTCACGTCGATAGTACATCAATTGAATGGTCCCTGATCATTCCTTTATTAAAGGCCTACTGACACAAAAACTGTGTCTTCGCGTTTTTCTGCTGCAATGTGCTGCTGGGGGTCTGTTAGTCATGACACTACACATCGTTTGCTGCAGCAGGTGACCGATAATTAAGTACAGGCCCCTCATTATTGATCAGTTTTGGTTTGAGAGAGCTCCAAAAACTGGGTGGAACTATCTCTACCTAGCGTGTGCAGCTCTTGACCACGTCAGCACACAGAACTGTGGCACACTTCCGCACAGTCCGTACCAAGAATCACTTTCGAATAGGAAATGGGACTGCAATGCTGCCAAACACAAAACTTTCTAAGTGTGCGCCACGGCCACGCACTTGCAACCAGCCGCCGAGAAATATAGACTGTGGGAACAAACTCGGCGAAATAAATATGGCGGTTACGACGTCATCATAACTTGTTCTGTTGACCTGTAGCATGGTGACGTGAGGGAAGGTGGGGGTCCCGGAAAAGCCCCAATGGCATGAAGGAGTCGAGGTTTCACACAAGCCTCAAAATTCTTTTAAAATACCTTTTAAATACTCGGCTATATTCACTGTTGATATTTTGCAGATGATATACTAATGTTCCTGAGAATCGACCTCACAGGCTATCTCCCCCGCAAAATTTTGTGTCAGTACCCCTTTAAGTCTCAGAAATACAGCACGGTACAGATTCGAGTTGGGTTTAAGTAGAAAAAACTGTGCTAGAAAGGGGGGACAAGACAAGAAAGTATAAGACCTGGTCCTTGTGCCATATTTTTTAAATTGCTTTTTCTATTCTCAGAAGTGCTTTGGAACAAATAAGGTGCTTTCCATAACTTCGTTTGATCTTGTAGAATCAGTGTGCGCAGTGTTCATCTTGCCCACCTGTACTCAACGTACTTCATTTTCGTGGAACATAGGGATGGTAGTGTCTTGCTTGGGCTGTTTCGATGCTTGGGGACTATAGGGTGAGCTTAGCTGTGCATCAGCAGGCAATGGCCCATTGCTCAAGAAAGTGCACTGTAATTATTGAATCCAAAGTGCACACTTTCGACAGCTGCAGCCTCTTCAGTCATGTGAATTAGTGGACATACACTATACCCGTATGCACATATTCAACGTAGGTTTGTCTGGCTGGGGGAAAATTAATACAAATGAAGTAAGTTCTCGAACCACTTTTAGTTCAAAGTTTCTGAAGTTAAATTTGAAGGCTATAAGCTGAGCCGACCTTACGAGATCCATTCGGTTCCTTTATCAAGAGTAACTGTAGAAGTGGGTTGCTGGAGAAGTGTGCGCCATTTTTTTTGCTGCCAGCAAGTCTAGTGGTCATTCCTCTGAATTTAAACTGTTCGTAAAGTGGCTGGAGAGTTTATTTTATTTGTATAGACCAGTATGCACACACCCAAATCTTTTGCTTGTTCAGAATTGGCCACCCCGCAGGGGTGTCTGCACAAGCAGGTGTTTGGTGTGTGACGACACCACGAACCTGAGCCAACAAGGGGAATTTCGACTCCTTCCCACGCCTTGCCGTGCATAGAATTGCCATGTCTGGGGAAAAGGGGATCCTGGGAGTTGAGTCAATGCCGGTTGATTGGACTTTTAAGGACCCCGGATAGAGGCAACACACCCATATGGCTCCGGCTCTATGTTGACGGCACCCCTGGGCCCAGGGGAAAATACCTTTTTTTTTATCTCTCTCTCTTCACATGTTCGTCTTTCTCTCTCACTTTTGATATCTCCTGTCTACTCATCGCTTCCACTTACTTCTTGGCAGCAAGGGTTAATTTTGTGTATCATATTTGGCCTTCAGTATATATATTCGGTTATAGTGGCGGTGTATAGCTGACGTCTGCAGGCTTTTAAACCTGCAGCGTCCCCATGTTGGACTTCGTGGTGGGTGGCTATTAGCACCACTGAATTTTGAAACCCTGTTATGGCAGAATCCTTCCCTCACCTTCGAGATAAGACAGGTCGCACCAAAGTACCATCATTTCCGACTTAGATCACTTTCCTTATTATCACGTCTTACATAGTGAAGGAACAACAAGTATGTGCGAACTGTTCTTTTTCATTGTGTCAAAATCATTAGGAGAAGCAATTGGCAAAGACTACAAGGCCTTAAAAATGATAATCGGAGAACTTACCATTGAATTGAAGAACCAAGATCAAATCGAAAAGTTGTACGATCTTGTCACCATTGGCAACACAGATGTCACGATCACCGCACATCGCTCACTAAACACATGTAGGGGCGTCATCTCAGAAGACAACTTCCTCAGCCTGAGGGATGAGGAGCTCCTCGAGGACTTCCAGGACTAAAATGTAATTAAGGTGCAATGTTGAAACGTTGTTGCTCTTTTTTCGCACAATGTGCAGGTTCGACCTGGGAGGTCCGAGGAGCCACCTCAGGACACTTCCCGAAGGACGAGTGCATTTTAAGCAAGCACTTAGTAACAATAACACGAAAGCACTTGACCCCCAAATATAAGAAGTCCTATCTCTCGGACACAGTTACATAAAAATACAGCAGGTGTATATTAGTCCCTAAACACGAGTCCTAAGCACTCAGTTTCTACACAGAGTGTGTCGCGGAATGTCAAAGGAGTGGCGTCTTGCCCACGTCGTTGCGTAGGAGCCTGGGTGCGAAGCACGGGGTCGATGCTGTTGGCGTCGTAGTTGGCAACAGCTTTAGGCAGCCACACAAGCTGTAGGAAAAGCAGCCTTCCTAGGCTGCCGACAGACACTGCACCACCTGACGCTGCATTTCACGCACTGGCTTCAAGGTAGAGTCCCGTCCGGACAGCCTCGCCTGAGCTCGAGCCCGAAGATCGACAGCTCAGACCTGCCCACGGGCACGGGAACGGCAGCACAGCCTGGTAGTTCTGGAGCCCCTCAGGTCACCGGTCTATGGAGGTAGCAGCCTTGGCTCTGGTACGAAACCCGACCGTCCTGATGCGTGGCTCTTCTTCCTCTGGCCACCGCTGTGACTCTTCTTCTTTTTCCCTGCCTCACACGTGCTTCGAATAACGCTGCGTCTGCATCGAATTGGCACTTCAGTCGTTTCTTGTTATTTATTAACATCTGTGCCATCTTCTTTCTTGCCGACTTCGAACTTGGTTCATGGCATGCACTTCAAATTCTGCTCGCCCCGTTTCAAGTTCCACGCACTCCACCCATTTTGAATTCCATGCACTCCATCACAAATGATCACAATCAAAAGAAACAGCTTCCAACTAAGCACATCATTCTCACTTTTGCAAGTAGCAATCTCCCAAGCTGACTCTATGCAAGATATCTGAAGATCAATCTCAGACCGTATGTATCGAACCCGAGGCGCTGCCTTAAGTGCCAATGGTTCGGTCACGCTTCACAATCATGCAGAGGTAAAGCCACATGTGCAAGCAAATGAAAACTAAAGAATCCCAGTGTTGCGTCAACTGTCAAGATGATTGCGCCTGTTCTCGATTTTGCCCTGGCTGGAGTAAGGAGAAAGAGGTGATTGAGTTGAGCTAGGGCAGCACCACGACGGCCTCACGAGCCTGCAGGATCCACGGTCAGTGGTACCTCCACCTGTTCCCTTGGTGTTAGCAGCGTCTGCTGCTCCATTAACATTGATCAAAGTGGGCCTGCAGACTTCATCTGTAAGGTCCGCAATGCAAGGTCCGCGACTCAATAGAATACCAAGGCCCGAGAGGCGCGTCTCAGTGCCTAGCTCTCAATCCTCCAGTGCCTCTGACAAGGCTATGGAGGTCAATAAAAAAAAAAAAAAAGGACACTACAGAAAAAAAAAATTGCGTATTAGTAAAGTACAAGTTCATAATCCTGAAAACACTAGTCTTACCACGAGACTCTGACACTTGGTAATCGAGAAAACGTGTGAAAAGAAAATGCGGGTGGAGACACGACTTTGAGATTCCTGCATGAAATGCCGTGCAATAATAGATTTTGAAGGTGTCTGCTGGGTCCTACGTAGCTTCTAATTTATAAAAATTAAGTAGATATCTTCTGTGGCTGCCGTAGACCTAGCATAAGAAGTTTCGAAAAATTTCATTGAGCCAATATCACGAAGATATGAAAAAGTACATTTTAAAATTTTTGACACCACGCACACTAGTTTCAATGCAAAATTTAGAAATTAAACTTTAAATTTATTCCTTCCACTAATAATGAGCTTAATGAGTTAGTGAAACTTATGGCATTAGAGTTCCTAGAGTGCAGTTTGTCAATCTAAGCTAAGTTTCTCTTTAGTGTCCCTTTAAGCATAGGTCGTGCTGGCGCACACACATTGTTTAAACAAACATTAATGGCCTTGTGATCAGAAATTCCATTGAAAACATTGCACAGATATCCCTTCTTTACCATTTCATCGCAGACAAAAAAAAATATATCTAAGACAAAATCTTTGTGCATCGTATCATCGATCAGCTGAGGTAGATCAAAAGCTGTAGACATGTCAATTAGTCAATCACAATTTCGGCTTTCATGACCAGTTGATATTAATGGATGCCAATCTATAGCAAGGGCATTAAGACATATTTTCACCCTTGAAAACAGGTTTTCCAGGAGAAGTGAAGTTCACTTTTTTTCTTGTGCAAAGCTGCCCGGATATCTGCTTTATGCAGAGTGAAAAGTCTTCTTTGAATAGTTTTGTGTCCTTCAATTTACTTGCATTACTCAAAAAGTGATCTTGATTCTGAAATTGTGCAACTTCATAACAACAGGACTCGAGTTATTGCACTCCCACCCTATGAAAATGTTCTATGTTGTAGTCCTTAACGTCTAGTTTTGATGTAATCAGTCTGTTACAGTCTCTAATAATTCATCAAATGTTTCACGAGAGCATTCAGCTAAGTAGTATATTAGCAGATTATTTCTTCAGTACCTCTTTTCTAAGTCGTCATT